AGCGGGCGACTGCAGGACTGCGGGGCCGTGGCTCGGGGCCCCGCGCTCACCCCGGCACGCCGGCTCCCCGCCCCCCGCCGGGGGTACCCAGCTAATAACCGGCCTCCGCGCACAAAGCGATTGCTTTCTAGACGTCAATCACCCGGGAGCGGGGAACACCCGGCTAAAGGGGGCGCGGGGCGGGGGGGAGGTGGAGTGAGAGAGAAGAAAAGATGACTGAGGAGGGGGTGGGGAGAAAAAACTTGATTTCTTTAATAACCTCAATTAAAAGAGCAAGACACACACACATATTTTTAAAGGGGGGGCTTTTTGAATAGGATAGCCCGAAAGGTGAAGAGGTTTAATCGGATACTTGAAAGCTAATTACAGTGGGATTTAAGAAGCCTGGTGTTTGTTCCGACGATTTGAATGAAAATGCTTCAGATTAAACGGAGCCAGCAGCTCTTTGGTAAACTTGAAGCAATTAGAACGGTAAGCGATTTACACTGGTTTCTTTAAGGTGTGAATTGCCACTTAGTGCTCAGTAAGTCAACATTTTAGCTACTAAAGGATTATTTTTAACCAGTGCAAAAAGCGGGTCGAATAATGGAAATATCCAGCTGAATTTAATTTGTCCCATTTAAAAAAAAAAAAACAAAAAAAACAAAAAACACAACCTCACCCGACGCGGGTCAGTACGTTTTAGAGCACACAGGCGCGTCGCTCAAGTGTCCCCAAGCACCGGCTGCACTTTCAGTTTTGTTCTACAAACGAACGCAATCTCACTGAGAAGTCTGGCTCAGGGCTGGCGGGTCCACGGGCTCCCGCGGCCCACAGCCGCCCCCGGCCCGCGTTCCGTCCCTTTGTCTCCCTTTCCTGGGTCCTCTGAAAACCCAGGTGAGCCAGCGCGCGCGGGTCTCCCCAGCGCAGCCGCCACCGGCCGCGTCCTCGCGCGCACAAAGCATCCAGGCAGAAACTCTACCTGTCACCTTCCCCGCAAACACAAAGCCCGCAGTGGCCCGCGCGTCCTGCCGAGGTCCCCAGGCTGGGAAACGGTTCCAGCTTAAAACGCGAGCCACCCACGGGTCTTGCCTCCGGAGAGAGGTGACAGCTTTCTGGGTCCCGGGGTTAGGCTCGCCTCCTGCTGCGAGACTTGCCCCTTGGGTGTTTCCAATGAAATCCTTTTTTTCTGGCCCTTCCCAAGAGCCGGCGGGACTCTGCAGGACCCACGTCCTCGAGTCTGTCGCCGCGGGTCCCCAGACCCCACACGCGCCCGACCCGAGGCAAGAGCCGGCGCTCAGCGGAGCGCGGCGATTGGTACCTGGTGCCACTCGCAAAGGCCTGGACCCCCAGCCCACCGCTGTCCCAGGCCGCCTCGAACAGCGAGTTACATAGAATAAAAGCAGGACTCACATGGCCCCAGAGCACCTTACGCTCCAGACTTCGTCTCCCAAATTAGAGTGTCCATGCCTCAGGTTAAGTGAGCCCACGGGGAGGGGACGCGGTGATTACTACCTAACGCTGCTACGTAATAAAAAAAATGTCAGGTCTGGAGATGAGGCAGTGACAGGTAGTTTCCGAGCCTCGCCTAGGAGCCCAGCAACTCTCTTTTCTCAAGGAAACTGCTGCTATTCAAGGGATCCCGCCGGGCGTCGGCGCGCTCACCTTCTCGCGGGGAACCGCCAGCTCCGGCACGTCCTTTCCCTCCAGTTTACACACAAACATCTGATCGCTCTTCCAATACATGGCCCCGCAGGCGTTGCTTATCACATACCAGCTCCAGAGGGTCAGAGGCTGCGGGTGTCTGCAGTGCCCCCCTCCCCCGCCCCAGAGCGCCAAGGAAAGCTAACACGCAGGGTTGCAATGCCAAAGTGCGTCTCGTCCAAAGAGGCCACGGTGGCCGTAGCCACTCTCGGACCCGCTGTTCTTAGATTCCTCTCTCAGCTACACTGAGGTCTGTCCCTCCAGGAAAAGAGGGAAAGAAGTTGTGTTTTCCAGAGGGTGGAACCTCACGGGGAGGAGGGGTGTGGGGGAAAGTCTTTTCCAGGAGGGACAGCCTCACCTCCTTGCGGAAAAACCCGCCTTCTCTACATGTTAAGATCTTTATCTGCACCAGACAACTTACTCCAAGTTCAGTGTTAAAGGTGGGGGAAATGTGGATGGCCCATTAACTTGACTTTTCTGTTATTCCCCCCTTTTCTTTATTTCTTCTTCTTCTTCTTTTTTTTTTAGAATCTGCTTTCCTCGTCTGACTTGTTTTAAATTCTCGCTCCCCAGCCAAAACCTAAACAAAGATTCGGGTTACATCTCTTTCAGCGCGGGAGGGGAAGCAGAGGTCTCCTGGGTTCCCAAGCTTTAGTCCTTCTGAAATGCGCATCCGTGGGTCTATCTCCATTGGCGAAAAGTTTTCCCGTTAAGATAAAGAAGGGGCATCTGAGCGACTAGATTTGATTTGCGACTAGATTTGGAATCAAGGATACAAGGAAGACGAAAGTATGTTACTCACTGAATGCTGCTTTTATTTCATTCTAGACAAAAATCTCTGCCGTAGATGGAGGCGTCCATTGCTGCTGCGCACGCCCGGGCTAGAGTGTGTGCGTGTGCGTAGAAGTAGGGGGTAGGAGTCATTTTGCTCTGGATTGGAAAGTGTGGGAGCTTTGTGTTTGCTTGTTTGTTTTTAAAATTTCTTTGTAAGTTATCACTTCGTTTATAGAAGATAAATTTTGTAAGAAGTTATATTTAAATGACGTTTATTTCCTATTTGTCCTTTTAGATAAACAAAATCGAAACATTTGGAACTTTAGTAATATAAAGACATCTTGGAGTCTTTATTTTTTTTATCCAGACTTGTAACAAAACCATGCTTTGTTACTTCAATTAGACGGAAATGTGTGTAGTAAAACACAAGAATAGGAAATCTCACTCCCTTGTGTTTCTTGTGCGGAAGATGAAGTGAGACTTTGCCCGGACCTGCGGTCCGCGGACAGCGGAGGGGCGGGCAGTGGACCGGTGGACACACTTTCCGGGATGAACTGAGCCTGGGGCCCAGCAAAGACTGCAACTTCGCGTTTCCTTTGATCGCCCCTTTCCTCCTTAGACACGGGACTTGAACATACACCATCTCTGCTTTCCTTTTCAGCGGTTACACACACGTTCACACTAGCATTCTCTAGCCGGTCCCCATCAGGAGATCTCCTTTAAAATTTAGTATGGAATAAGAGAAGAGGTACCTAAGATTTAGAGTGACCTATATTTTGGTGGCACACTGAAGGAGTCGGGTTTGTACTGACAGCCTGAAAAGCTAAACTGTGTGTTTTTTGTTTTGTTATTTCGTCAAAAGCAAAAATCAGGATTGGGTGAAGGAATCCACATAATGATGTATTTTCCATAGCTGCTGCTCGGAGATGACCCTCTGGAATGGAAACAGACTGCTGCGGAACGCGGGCTCCAGCAGGCCGCACACAGAACCGATCTCCTGGAAGAGAATTAACTAGAATCTAGCGTGGAGATTTTTCACAGTCCTTTGTGCTAAGGTTTGCAACGTGAATCCGTAGTTGCCTTTGCTTGCTAGCGAGAACGGTCTGCGCGGGTCATCTGGAGAGCCCCGCGCGCCGGAGCTGTTTGGGGGAAGTGGGGAGGGGCGCCAGCGTGTACGCTGCTTTTCCACCCACCCTCGCCTAATCAGGCGGCTCTCAATCAGGTTTTCAACATACTAATCTTGATCTAAGAGCTCCTGTCTCTGCATAAGTGGAGGAAATGATTCGTTTTTAGAGGCTTCCGGGCTTAGAGAAGGAGGACGTCCTCAGACTGCTGCAGAAGATCTAAACGGCTGGTCTGCGCCTGCCCTGCTCCGTCTGCCCTGCTCCCGGCGCCCGGCGGGACCGAGACCTCACCCGCGGCATAATTGCGTGTGTCCAGCGCGCTCCCCGGGCTGTCCCGTGGTAAGTGCGTTTCCCCGGTGGAAAGTGCGTTTCCTCTCCTGGGGACCAAGGCTTTGGCACCGGGTGTGTGGTGGAGATGGGCGGAGCGGAAAGCGAAGGTTTTCACTTGGAAGGTCAAGGCTGAGCTTCCCGCGGGGTCCTGGGCCTAATGACCTTCTGACCCCGCTTACCTAAAACTGTTTTTCCTCTGCTTGCCCGCAGGCGAGCTGGAGTTCGTTGTTCCTCGGATCAGGCCAAGAAAAAGTTCGCCCTCTCTTCTTCCCAAGTTAAGTGTTTTAGCTACAAGTCACAAAACACTTTTCTTAAAAAAAAAATGAGAACAGTTTTGAACGAAACACAGTAATATATATATATATATATATGCATATATATTATCTTGCCTGCCGGTAGATGGGAAAATAAATCGGCCGTGCCTCGATGGTGCCTTCCTATTGGACTGAAATTCGTAGGAGCCACCGCTCATCAAATGAAAATTGGAAGCGGAAGGCCCACTTAGGGGGTCTACCAACAGCCTTGATCCCCTGGCTCCATTCACGGAATGAATGGAGTAGGAAAGAGAACCAGAGAGAACTCCAAAGACGTCTGGTCCGGGGATGTGCGGCTCGTACTAAGTGTGTCCTGCTACAACCCAGGGTGTGCGGGAAGCGGTCTGGATCCCGTCGCGCCCGACCCCTACAGCTTCCACCTGGAGAAGGCCTGCTTAATTGGGCAGCCAGCAGCTGCTAAATGTGCGGTCTACTAATGACCCACCTCCTCGGCGACTCCTATCCAAGGCATAAAACTGATATTTTCACACCCGGATCGCACGGCAGGAGCCGTTTATAAACATCCTGCATCCGAGGGATGGAAAAAAAAAAAAAAAAAAAAGGCTGCATTGACAGGGGTCTCTGGAGCTCGGTATTTAAAAGCGATAGATCCGAATTAGAAAATTATTACTCTAAGTAGAGAAAGTACCCACCAACTTAACTATTGAACTGCACGTCTGAGCTCTTGGCACTAACTACGGGTCTGGAGGAACTTATCCTGGATCTTGCGCGGAAGGCAGGCCATCCACTGGCTCTCGGCTTCTAAAGCTCTCCCCTGGGGGCTGCGGTCCTCCAGAGGGCTGGCGAGGGCTAGCCTGGGTCACGTCTACAAAGACACAACTAGGACCTGGGGAGAAAGCCTAGGCGAAGTAGCCACAGCGGCCTGAGCTTGTTGGTGCTTTGCTTTCTCCAACCCCAGAACCGCGCCAGGGCGCAGTCCGCGCAAGGACTGTCCGCTGAGGCAGGGGAATGTGTGACCTTGGCTCCCGAGAAGGAACTGACAATGTCCCTAAAGTGAATGCTCAGCTATGATCACCGGCAAACTGCATGTGCGACACGTGGCTGTTGACTGTGTCTTTGGATTGTTGCCCACCTCGTTTATCGTGCATAGGAGTCTGGAAAGTGTTTGAAGAAGGAAGAATGTCCAGAGGTACTGCTCAAAGCGTGCGTCTGGGAACCTGTGTCCCCATTCAGTGGCACAGAGCATGAAACCTGCTCACCTTTGGGACTCACTGAGCCCAGACTCTTTTAGACTTCGTCACCCACAGCGCCAGGGAACAGCACAGGCGCGACTATTCTCGAAAGTGAAGGTCACCAAGTTGACGTCTGCCGGGGTCTGAGATCTACTGCTAGCTGAGGCTGAGCCTGGGGAGTGGGGGAGGGGGACTTTCTTGATAGACTGCACTAGGGACACTCGGGACACCCTGGTGTGCAGACCAGTGCTCCTCCCCTTGGCCCCGAGCGACACCTCCACGTCTCAAGGAAGACAAACTCTGGAGATACACGGAGGGAGAGCTAGGTTCTGCTTAACCAGAGCCTGCACATGTGCTATAGTTCTTGGTAGAGCATCAGGAAGCCCGGCCCACTTACCGGACAGAGAAATGGAGCGAGAAAATAATTCCGGGCCACGAGGAACCCGAAATTAGGGGAGGGGCGGCCTGGAAAACTCCTGGGTTAAACGTTAGCACGCAATTCCATTAACACATTGTGACATTCACAAGCCCACAATCTCGCTTTAAGCACGCCTGTGGTTTGGATCGCGGTGTTCTGTGTCTTTTCTTGTGACCAATAAAGCAGGAACCACGGAAACTTGACTATCGTTTCTATAGAATCCTGCCTGTAAACCCTAAAGAACAAGATGTAAGGGAATGTGAGAAATGTCCAAGCAACAATCCCCACACCGTGGAGTTTCTGGCAGGTTCTAGGAACTCCTCTCTCCCAGGAGATACAGCTTTGAGCTCCCTCCTCTGGGAGAGTGGAGACTTCATCCCGGAGGTGACTCCCCACCCACTCTCTTCCCACCCGTATCATCCCACCCCGCCCGAGTCCGTTTCTCGCGGTTCTATAATTGGAATTAAACCCCAGCTAGGGTGGCAGAAAAGCCACTCTGGGTCTGAATGCAACAGCCCGGGCGTCAACGGAGTTTCTGTAGCGGGGAGTGGGGCTGCAGGGTATCGCGAGAGCCTCTGGTTCCCAGAATTTGATAAAGTTTGCCAAGAGAACTCGCGGCTCTGGCGGTTAGTCCTTGGGAGAGCCCAGCAAGCTGCCCACAGCTTTGGTGCCCATGGCTCTCTGCAACACTCCCAGGCTTGTGCCCTCAGCCATATCTTAAGGGAACTTGTAAAATGATGCATTCGCCATGAAGGTCTGCAGAAAAATTCTAAACCATACTTTTAAAAGTTAAGTAACTTTGTATGTGCATTTCAACTGCAGGAGACTTGGTTCTCGTAGCCAAGAAAATGTTTTCCTCCAATTCGCTCCCTCTCTTCCTTCCTTTCTCGCCTTTCTGGGGGCGGGTGGAGGGAAGTAGGTTGTTAAAAGAGCCAGACAACTTGCTGTCCATTTAATGTGAAATTTGAAGCTAATCAATTTGTAGCCAGATATTGAAGAATTTAACTTCAGACCTCAGTTTTTATCATTCACAGGATGGAGAGCACGTCACTAAGAAGGTGTCATATGAATAGAAACAGTGCTTGGATAAGTGTTCATCCACGCAGTAGGTCCTTGGGTGCTGGTTGGGTGGGGTGCAGTTCTCCCTCTCCTAATTCTCCCATGCTACCTTGGAGAGATCTAGGAGCAGAGGCATCACCAAAGCCTTGTTCCAAGAGGCGGGAACAGGCCAGGTGTGATGCCCCATAGGGTCCCCCAGACTCGGTACCTGAAGCAGCGGTACCTCCATGCCCTTCACAGATTCCAGGAGAGAATGGTCAGCCCGGAGCCCCTTCTACTGGCCCGGAGCTTAACAGTACCCCTCATTCAAGCTTTCCTGAACTGCTCTGGTCTCCCTGGTTTATCTCAGGCTAATCTTATGCATTTAAAAAGCAGGCACCTGGATTTCTGCGAATCTGTGCAAGCATCTGAGTACTGGGAGCTGGGCAGTAGATGTTGTTCCTCCACCCCCACACATACACCCAGTGCTCTGATGCACATTCTTATTTTAACTTGGCAATAATACTATCTCCACCTTCTAACCTCAACATAAAACATGGAAGCTGCATTTTTAGTCTTTTAGCCATAGAGCTCTTTTGGGTGAGTTCAGATGATGTGATTCTTTTCAGAGTTCAGAAGACTTGGTTGTGACCTAATAATCCAGCCTCCAGCCTTTTCCTCCTAGGACTTCTGTCTGCCCCTATATCCATAGGTAAACAGAGGTTTCTGGAATCCTTCAGTGAAGTATGCCCCATTCCACTTCCACTATCATGGAATGGTTTGGAGTGTCAAATAAAAAAGCCACAAGAGGGGAAAATGGAGTCAGTTCTTAAACCCACAGTCACGTGTCTGTCCTTCCCCTTACAGCTGACGTTTACTGTCACGAGTGGATTTGTTCGGATGAATCAAGCAGTGACTGAATCTCTATACTGATACTGATACAGAGGGCTAAGCCCTCTCCTAGAATTTTCCTTTCGAACTTGACCACAACTCTTTATAAAGTCTGAAGAGGTTACAGTGCCTGCCTCTGGCTGTGCAAAACCAGGGTATCTTACCCTCTGCCACTTGTGGGGAAGCCTTCAGAAACAGTTTCCTAACACAAACAGGGTATTCAAGATGACCCCAGCAGGTACTCTGAAAGCTCCATAGAGACAGGAGCTGTGTTGTCTTCTGATTCTCTGAAACCCAGCTTAGTGCTTGGCAGTGGACAATAAAAGTTCTGGCCAACAGCAGGCTGGCTCCCTCCCTCCTCGGCCAGTTTCACTCCAGCACTTCGTCCATTGCTCAAGCAATTTAATTGTTTTTTTAATCCCTCGAAGAATTTAAGCCAGGAAGAGAGTGGACGATCTGACCAAATAATTGAGGGAATTTGGGTTCCACTCTTCATTTATAATGATGGAACTCTTCAAATCTCAGTGAGCAATGGAACTGGACACCTGCTTTGTCTTCCAGAGAGGCCACAGAAGGAGCAGCTTCTGAACTTGGGGATACTATAGTGTAGCTTTGTAGGAACACCTTGGATAGAGAACATGTGTGGTCAGGGACAGGATAAGCCTCTTTGGTCTCACTCTGCAAACACAGAAATGCTATACATTTTATCAGATGCTGAAACAGATTTTACTCCAGGAAAAGAAGGGGGACCAGAGTAGACAGAGAAGATTGGAACTGAGGTGATTGGGAACCAGGTGCTGTTGCTGCCGTGAGATCTAAACCCAGACACAGCCCATATTCACCTTGGCTGTGCATTTGTCCAGAACTTCTCAGGAAACCTGATGACTGGGATTCCAAGTCTTGGAAAGAGCTGGAAGAGGCCTCTCATCCAGTGATGAGGGTTCCAGTTCCGATGGTGATTAATTCACCCACTCGTGTGTGTGTGTGTGTGTGTGTGTGTGTGTGAACACCTTACTCTGAATTCTTGAGTTTCTCACATGCACCAGTAACACCTGCAAACTCATCGGGAGCTGCTACAGGCTTTTGTAAAAGAGGCAAAATCCAACTTTCAGAGTGGTCAGTCTCATGAATTTCAGTAAAATATAAGCTCTCCTTGCAGGAGGGGCACCAACCTTGTCCCATGCTCAAAAGTGTGTCTCAGGATGTGAGTGGGTAAACACAGTTAGGTTTCACCTCTGGAACCTAGGTGGAGGGGGGGACTCAATTCCTGCAGATGCTAGCTGTGGCACTTGCCCCTCCCCCATAAAAGAAATGTAATTTTAAAGAATGTTTCACACCGTACCACCTTCAGAGACTATTGGGACTCACTTTGCATTCATTATTGCTTTCTGTCTTAGAGTCAAAGGGCAGAGGTTTCTTCTGAACGTTTAATTATACAAACGTATCTCTAACGCATTGTGTAATAGACCTTTCAGCCCTTCGTCCTCTTCCTTCTCTTTGGAGTATTTCTGCTTTGCACAAGTAACTTTAATAATGCAGTGAGGTGGAAGAAACTTCTTTCAATAAAATACGAATTAGAGGCTGAGCTTGCAGCTCAGTGTTAAAGGGCTTGGCTAGCATGTGTGGCCCCTGAGTTCAATCCTGTTTGGGGTGGAGCCAGGGTAGAAAGGCGGGTTCAGTGCAAACACCCATGTCTCTGCTTCTTTAAAAGCTCTGAAGTAACATTTCCTCAAAAGACTGGGGGCTATTATAAGCAGCTGTTGGGTGAGCATCACACGCTTTCTCTGCTGTCACCCACTTCATAGATCAGAAACCCAAAGCTCTAAGAAATGCCTCACAGAGGCTGAACACAAACCCATGCCAAGGTCTTAATCACTGTGCTAACCGCCATAGTTGGTCCCCATGGTGTACTGGCTTTCTGACCCCCACTTTCCCTTGGAATAATAGAAGTGAGAATTAGCATCTGGTTTTGGTGGTTGAAGGTGCAAGGTTGGAGGGTCCTGAGCACCAGTTTTCAAGTTCATGTGCTATCTCTGGCCTCAGGCCGCAGACTGGCAAGGCGGATTAGATTGCATGCTGGGCCTGCACTTTCTCACAGCCTGGGTAAATATTGTTGCATTTCCTTGGTTAACTTCCAGGCCCCAGGCTAAACAGGATACCTCTCGCCAGGCTGCAGGCCCTTTCTCCAGCTGGGTAGCCTGCGCAGAATAATCAGTGCCCCCTCTGCAGGTGGTCTCTTGGGGACTGCTGTGGAGCCACCCAGTCCCAGGGCATCCAAGCTGTATCTTCCAGGCCCTTGGCTTTCACCCCAGAGGCACTGCTGTCCACACCCAGAATGCCTAGGAATGCTGCTGTGGCTGGTCTCCACTCCTGCCCACCCCAGAGGGTGGCCAGAGTCAACCCTAGACAGAGAGAGTAGGGATCCTGCTTGGCTGGTCCAGAGATGCCAGCCGCTGCCCTTTAGCCCTTGGCCATGGGCTAGCCCAGCACGCAGACTTGGGTTTTACTAAGAATGTACTTGTTACAGAAGCAGATGTGGCATCGAGAGCTCTTTAAGACTTTTTTTTTTCTATGAGAAAGTCAGTGCCCTCTCGGAGGATGCCCCTAGCCCAAGCTTGGGTTTCCCTCAGTCCCACTTGCTTGTAAATACACAAGGGTGCTTCTTGCTCTGTCTTTAAAAAGCCCCAGACCGGCAGGCACTCAGGCAGCACACAGGAAAGCACCTACTCCAGTCATTAGGAGTAATGTGTGTGGCAAAGCCATTGAGCAAGGCCTTATTGAGCAAAACCTTCAAGGCCTTAGGGATTTCCTAGGTGGGCAGTCCCCAATGCCTAAATCCTGCCGGAAGCTGAAGCCCCACAAGTATGATCGGCTTTGCATGGGAGCAAGATCCTGGAATCCACTTGCTCAGGCACCAGCCCAGTTCTCTCCTCCCCTCACTGCCCACCCTCCATCCTAGGTGGCTCAGGGGGAACAGATGCTAAGGGTGCGGGCCTGACCATCCTCTGGAGTGGCTCAGTCTCAGGGAGCATTTCCCTGGGGATTGCCTACTTAGCTTTAGTCCCCTTGCCAGTCATAGCTGCTTAGCCTTTGATACTTCTTAAATAAAGCCATTCAATGCTGGGGCAGATGCTTGGAACTTGATTAGGCAATCGTGTATAGCTCTAATCGTGTGTGTGTGTGTGTGTGTGTGTGTGTGTGTGTGTGTGTGTGTGTGTGTGTGTGTGTTTCTGCTGGGCTGATGAGAATATGTTCTGCG